ATTAGTTATGGGGTGTCAAAATAAATAGAAGTATTTGTGCGACAAACGTGCTAGGCTGAAATCGATTACAAAATATTGTAAAACGGGAGACAATGGTGGTGATTAATCATGATAGATTTGTAGAGTGTGGGGTAGGAAAATTGACAAGTCAGTTCAAGGTTATAAGAGGTGTCAGGTGAGTGGCTAGTACAAAGTGGTCTGTGTTAAACAGGAGATAGTAAGACTGTAATGGGAGGTTCATAATGATATTACGAATATGTAAAATGAAACAGGTGGAGGTATATATTGAGAAAAGAGATAATATTACTAATGATAAGTCCGGATAGTATAAACGAAAAATTAGATAGTATTGAGAGAATGTTTGCATGAAGGGCATAATGGTTAACAATAATAAAATAAAGATCATGACAATTACTCAGTTAAATAAAAACGAAAGTACATACTAATGACCAATCGTTTTGTTTTTCATTCATTGGGAAATACAAAAACACATTTATTACAATGAATATCATATACCCAATGCCCAAATTTTTCCACTGTTAAAAGTGAACTTGGTTTGGACATATATAATGACGAATCATATTTAAAAGGTCATGTAGTCCATGGTAGGTGAAGATTGAAGTCTCTTCTTTTTGTACACACAGTTTAGGCTGTATGGGATTAATCCAAAGTGCTTCCATCACTTTCAATAACCTTGAATTAGAGTTTTGTGAAATAATTGTGAAACAGTCATTATTATGGATTTTGTGACCTGACATTAATGAGTGTTTTGCAATGGATGATACTGGATTTCTATTCAGATTAATCGCGTTGGGATTTTTTATATGATTTAGTAGCCATTTTGGAACATGTTCTTTTCGACGTCATTGGAAAATTCTATTGGTTCTACCTATATAGGTGTCACGGCAGCTGCAGGTGAACTTGTAGATACAGTTTGAAGTAGAGTCCACAGAATTTCGTCGGCCTGCTTAAATCTTGGGCTACCAAAATTTCCATCTTACATATTGCATCTATTTCCTCGGATTTATTTTATTTTAATCATTCAATTATGTGTCCTAATCGTATTGTTTACTCTCGCGATTATTTAAAACGTTTCCAACCGGCTGATTCACTAGTTTCTAACAAACTTAAGAAAAAGCCTCATGGTGAATGGCAACGAGCTTTAAAGCGTACTCCAATGCATTTGATGACTGTTCCTGTGATTATGAGCACAAAATGCAGATCTCTACCAAACAAGATTAATTACTTGCATTCACTATTATTCTCAAATGTATATTGTAATACTGCTGTAATTACTCTTCAAGAAACTTGGCTGTACGATTCATATGACAATAATTTAGTCTCTTTACCTGATTTCACAATGTACAGACAAGACCGATGCAGCTCAAAGAAGAAGAGAGGTGGAGGAGTTGCCACTTTTATTAATTCTCAGTGGTCTACTGCCAACAACGTCTGTTTCAAATTCTCAAATGACAACATTGACTGTATAATTGTTAAATGCCGATCTAAACACTTATCTAAGTATAACTGCATTTTTGTCACAAATATCTATGTCACACCTTCTTGCAGTCCCTCAGAACTATCGATCTTTGCTGACGAATTCACTATTTTTGCTGCTTCTTCGCTTGGTAACTCCTTGTCTGTAGTAACTGGTGACTTCAACGCCAGTGACTACAGTTTTATTACATTGCTGGGTCATGAAAATGTGGTTAACTTCCCAACTCGACAAGATGCTTCGCTTGATTTAGTATTCATAAATGATTCTGGAATATACGAAGCTCGTAAAAGAGCTTCACTCTCAAACTCTGATCACTGTATTGTACGAGTTCTACCCAAAGTTTACGGAAAGTTACACAAAAAAGCCTTCTCTAACTAGTCCAAGAAAGTTGTTCACAGATGTTACTCAAATGAGAATGTACAACATCTTAGAGACATGCTCAGTGACACAAGATGGGATCTGTTTAATGAGGTTTCACTTGATGACACTATCTCTAATATTACGTCTTATCTGAAATTCTGTTTTGAAATCTGCTGCCCAAAAGAAACACTATTGGTCAAATTCGACCGTTTCTCCTCCCCTCAACTTAAAAAGCTGCGTAGAGAGAAGGAAAAGCTATATAAAATGAAAGATAAAAGTGGCGTAAAAAGAACTAACTTCCTTATCAAGTCTGAAATGCAGAGACTGAATGTTATATATAACCAGAAATTCATATCCTGCAAAAATGCTTCAAATATGTGGAAACTATTTAAGGAAATCACTGGTGGTAAGCAGATAAACAATATTCCATATTCTTCTGATGTATGTACTCTGAATAAATCTTTTATTTATTCTCCCTCAAATTCCATGCTTCCCAGTATCACTAGTGTTCATAATAGCCCCTTTCCAGGTTTTAACACAAATGATGTTCAAAAACGCCTCAAGTCTCTGAACCCTTCCCAGAGCTTAGGTCCAGATCATGTACCTAGTATTATTTTCAAAAAGTGTTCTGACATTCTATGTTACCCTCTCACTGATCTGTTTAACAAATCTTTTTCCAGTAATATTGTGCCTGCTGTTTGGAAAGACATTAAAGTTGTACCCATACCTAAATCGTCTACTGGAGCATGTGTCAAATTTAGACCCATTGCTATTACCTCTCCTTTTTTGAAAACTATGGAGAAACTACTTTTACTTAGTCTTGCACCCTCTCTTAAATCCTTTAATGACCCAAAACAGTTTGCTTATAAGCACAGTAGAAGCACTTTAGATGCAGCTGCCGTCTTATATCATAACATTGCTTCCAGTCTAGACAAAGGGGCTAAATTTGTTCGTTGTGCCTTCCTAGACTATACATCTGCTTTTGACTCGGTCCCTAGGGACATCTTATTAAATAAACTTGCTGCAAGTCAAACAGAATGTTGGGCTGTTAACTGGTTACACTCTTATTTCTCAGAAAGAAAGCAGTACACCGTGTATAAATGGAAGTTTTCCACTTCGTTGCCTACTGAAGCTAGTGTCCCTCAAGGCGCTGTCCTTTCTCCTTTTCTTTTTTCTTTCTTCTTACATGACTTGCCTCAGTCTGATGAAATAAACTTTGTGAAGTACGCTGATGACTTAACTGTTTCAATGGCTGTTAACTCCCAGCTACATTGTACCAAAATAAATAGCTTTCTGTCGGGAGTCAGTAAATGGTCTGAGTCTAACGGTCTTAAACTGAATCCTTCTAAATGTCAAACTGTTAATTTCAGCTTAAAATGTAAACGACAGTTAAAAGAGGCCGTCGATTCTCATGACACTTGTAAGATTGACAACAATGATATAGGAATTAAATCAGAAATTAAGTATCTTGGACTTATTCTCTCTTCTGATCTCTCCTGATCTTCCCATGTCTCAGCGATCTCTAGTAAAATATTCCGCCTGACATTTTACATTAAGAAGTTAAGGCACTCTAGTATAACTCAACCCCTCCTCTTACAGTTCATAAACTCTTGGATCCTACCTATTCTTCTTTATTGTTCACCCTTATTTTTTCCTGGTTTGCTTAAAAAGGACTATGTCACAATTCTTAGAATGCTGAAGACTGTCAGTACGGTAAGTGGTGTCCCAGTGGACTACATAGTTAACGTCGTTGTCGATAGGCACTTCACTTCGTGCAGTAAATTTACTAAAGGGATTTTGTCTGACTTGGAGCATCCACTTCACCCTCAGCTTTCACCTCGCATCTCTTCAGGTAGAACAAGAAGTAACTTCAGAAATCTGTATGCTTGCACGTCTAAGTATCAAAATTCTATGATACCATACTTGGCACGTATTTTATGTGATGAAAATAGCGTCAGGCAAGAATTGACTAACCTTTTTTCATCTAGTAAATTAACAATCTCCTCCATCCATCTTTATATACCTTCAAGTTTTACTTTTATGATTTCTATTATATTTATGGTCCTGTTGATTCTTTGTTTTCACTTTCATAACTGCAAACACCAACTTATCTCTATGACTGCTGCAATCTTTGTTTTTTCCCTCGTCATATCATGTAAAGAGAACATCATATTCAATATTTTTAATCATGCAAGGATTTGTATACCGCATCGACAATACTGTGTGAAACAAGCCCACGGCAATTTCCACTTGTATTATTATCATTACCTTAGCTGCTATCATTATTATTATTTCCACTTTATATGCTGCATGTTTTTTTATTTTTTATTTTTTTTTATATTAACCCTATTGTAAATGTAGAGACAATTTCTGTGTGATTAATTTTATTTATAATTTGAGGAAATTAGATGCAATATTGTGATTATTGCTGAAAATTCCATTCTGTATCACAAGTACTGTTTTTGGAATAAAGTAAATCATTATTATTATTATTAATCGTAGGAACAGGGATCGAAAATGTTCGGCAAGTGAGAAAAAGAGATGTGGCGGCGTAGAATGTGCGTTTGATGGCTGACCGAAGTCTTTGAGCTAGCTGTCAACTGCATAATCTGGTCACCCTTGAATGGTAGGTTAATAAAGATAGCTTTCATTGGTACAGAAGCTGTCTTTTCGAGATGTGGTCTTTCTTGAAGAGACAGAAGAGGAATTTATCGAAAAGGACAAATCTTTGCTCAATTTTTTTTAAATGTTTTGTAAACCTGGATGGTTGATTGATGTAGCTGATTGTCTGATTAGGATTTTCGTGTCATTTATTTGATTTCTTATAGAAGTGATATTTTCTAATGAAAGTTTCACTTCCAACTCTTCAATTAAAATTTTGATCTTTCTTTTTTAACATGGCAATCTGAGCGAGGTGTTTTGTCAACTATTAAAATAGAAAAACAACAAGAGTTTTCAGGTTTTGCAAAACACACATTAAGATACACGCCCATACTTGACAAATTACAAATTTTCAAATTCATAAATTAAAATTCAGATCACAAAGTGAGATTTAGCCACAGCCTAAATAATTGATTTCAAAAGTTTTAAGAAGCCTATATAAAAGAGTTCGGAAACAAAATGTTTTATTACTAAGTCAGCCATGAATTTAATCGCTGTTTCCATTGCGTTATTAGCAGCTTCAGGTATTGTGAAGTGTGAATTCACTTGCCGTATTCCAAAGCCAATCCCCCTGGTAAGAACACCTTACCATGCATGCATATTCTTCCTTTCGTCTAGCAATATACAATAGGAGGTCAACCGGGTAATACTGAGAAAAGAAGCACAAAACCTTCTCGTTTGAAGTTTTCTGTGTTTTATACTGATGTCTTCAACCGATTACCAGAAGCTCAAAAACTCAGGGTAATTATAATGATTAAATGGAAACTTCTACCATTTAAATATACACTTTCGTGAAATTCTTGCGACATTGGCAGGCAAAAAAGATGAATAACTTATGGAATGTTTGATCACATGAGAGAACACTACAGATTAATTTATGAATAACACTGTCGAATTCGGTTATAGCATTTCATCCTGAACTGATACCGGTTAGAGAACCACTAGAAAAACCCCCCAGGGAGTACTGGACAGTTGTTCTTTCAGCCTAGTTTGGGGACTAATCCTTCAGCAGTACGCACTCAACCCCAAGGTTTGAGCCCAGAACTCTCTGGTTACAAGGCGAGCTCGTAGACCATGAAGCCACTGGGATCCGATCCAATGGCATGCCCATAAATTCTAACTTCTATCAATTCATGAAATAGCGCGACCACTTCGCAATGTCTTCGGCGAGTATTTGTCCTCACATCGGACCTGCTGCACCCTACAAACGAATACTTGAACTGTCAATTTTGCTGTTTGCATAGCAGCATTTAAACATAACATTTATGTTACTTTGTATTGTATAAAAGTAAATGTCGACTGAAAACGTTTTTACAATTTCGATTCTTTTAGAAACTAGTTGAGGATGCAACAAAATTTTGGCAGAAAGCATTGACAGTCAAAAATCCAGGAGATGAGAAACAACTTGTGAAAAGGTAAGTATGAAAATGATTTCATTTTGATATTGAGATTTTTCACCGTCATCATTTCACACATCAACATGAGCTTTTCTACATGTGTCTATTTCATTTCTAATATATCTAATATCTAATATAACTGTACAACACTGTGTGATTTATCAAAATAAAATCTTAACCATTATGGAGTTATACTCTACCACAGTGCCCAAGTTTTATACTTATATCTTTTCTAGTTTCTTTATTAATGTACATGTTATGACTATTGTTCATTCCTTGCATTCCGATTGGAATACAGAGTTTTAGAGACACATCTCTATTTCACTGGGTTCCATTTCATCTCAGAGAATCTCCTCCATGTTACTGCAATATAGTCTTTTAGTTTCTCGTTCTTCATTGGCGTCCAACTCGAGGGCCCACATGGTATGTAATGCCACTTGAAGGTCTGTCTCTTTAGATTATGTCTAACCCATCTCACTTTCGTTTTGCATATCTGTTGAGCAACAGGTCGTTAGCTAGTTCTGTGCCTTCGTGAGCACGGTGATGATTACCCTTTCAATTCGGTCATTTGAGCTCAAATATCAAGCGAAGAAGGCGGCGGTTGATGATGAAATTGTTCCGTAACCTTTTGGAAGCGCTTTTAATGACACCCGTAACAATCCTTTAAATCATATAGGAACCCTGATTTGAAATTAGCATCGAATGTTCAGATCTCGTTCCTTGTGTTGAATGCTGTGAATCTTCATGATTTCAGCGTGGTGAAAGCCTGTCTTGATTTCTCAGTCTGATCTTGACAGGTTTTAGCACTGCCATCTGTGCTGTCTGTAGTAAAAATGATGATGTTGAGTTAAGTGAAAGTGACGACTCACTTTAAATTTCTCTCACTGATCATAACTGGTATTTTTTGATTTTGTTGCTTGGTTTGTTCACCTGAAGCCCTGTCCTTGAAACTTACTCCACCTACTAGTCGTCTTTCGCTCGCTATTCTTCTAGTTTGCGTGAGATGTGACATGAACTATCGATGAAATCCACATCTTCTAAGATCTCGGCCTAACTAATTCTGTTCTCAACCCCGTATGATCCAGTTTGTCACAGTCAGGGATATCATCGGCGATGGCAGACAGTCATGAGTAGTCCTATTTCCACTTCTGATACTTCTGTGAACTTTCCAGGCGACTCATTCTAACAGTATGTTTAGCGGAACTATATTACCCACTTGTGAAAAAATTCATGTTTTAGACTTAAAGTCGATTGTGACATACTTATTTCATTACGTAAACGAAGAATAACGAGAATATCAAAACGTGACATAAATGAATACTGTCTGTTGCTTCTCTTTCTAGATATTGTGATGATAACTATTACTATACAGTTAGCGGAAACAATTCTCTATACTGTGTAAATTCAAATTGTAACAGAAAGGCTATGTGTGGCTCCCTAGAAGTTCCAGATCAATACGCAGCTGTAAGTAATTTTTATGCATCTGTGATGCTTTACTCCTAGTAACTGACTCCTCGAATGACTGATTTTCATTGAGTTTTAAAATTTTGTGACAAAGGAATGCTCTTGGAATCTTTTATGTTCGAGAATGTGTGGCGAATCCAGGAAAATAGTCCGTGTATGTTATATATGGATTGATTTGCAAATATAAACACTATCAGTTTTCGAAATGACATGTCATAACTATCGCCTTACGATCCATTAAAATTATGAGGGGTATAAATGACGATTAATTTTTATAAAAAATATGCGATCAAAGCAGTTCAATAGAACAGAAGTTTAATAATTGATAATGAAGGCCACCATGTATGAAGTTGTCAATTAAAACATGACTGATGTGAGATAGACGATTGTTTACACAGCAAACCTATGTTTGTCGTTTTCTAGCCGACGAATGATTGGGACGAAAACGAAGGATAAGCTAGATAGTTTTGCCACATCTGTGTGTATTTATCAATTCAACTGCACCTGCGGTGACAGTCATGCTGGGCGCACTACTCGACAACTTACCCAATGTGTTGCTGAACATCTCCCATCATTGTTCAGCAAAGGACAGACAAAAACAATCCGTAGCTCAATTTTGTCACATTTAATTGATAGTGGTCATGTAGTGGAGAAAACGAGTGCTTTCAAAGTAATTCATCGTATCCCACTGAGTCTCTCCAATAGATTTCGTATTCGTCCACTGCACACAGCTAAGGCAATAGGCATTCGAACTATTAAACCGAAACCATGCATTCAAGAGAATTTCGTACAGTCATTATCCCTTCCATGGCCTATTAAGAAATAACCAGCTGATGAATCCTTCACCACCCTTAACTTATATTTTCAACACCTCCCTTATTATCCCATAATCTTTTCACATCTTCATTCTTAGATATTTTATTTACTTCCCTTACAATCCAGCATTACTTAATCAGTTCATTTGTTTTTCTTAACCTTTATCGACTACTTCTACCTGAACATTTGTTTGTTTAATCATGGTGTTTTTCGTTATTCGTGTTATCATAGACAGCCTCACTTTTCACCCGTATCACTGATAGAACCATTATTATTATTATTTTTATTATTCTACTATTATGACTAATTGCACAATTTATATTCACCACCTATGGACAAAACACCATGACTGGCTTATATGTGAATTTTTATTTGTAAAGTTATGCATATTAGAGTTAAGCCTGATGAGATCTAATTGAAAGCACAATATTGTTGTATGTGTGTTGTCCTAAATGAGCAACCTAATCTATATGATCGACGGAAAGTCATGTGTAACCATATCTCATACAGAAGTCCTTGTTTAAGTTTGAAATATCAAAACACTATTTTGTGTCACCGACAGACATGGAGTTCATGCAATAATCTAGGTATCTAGGAATCGGTTATAATGCGGAGTGAAAATTTCATTTTTCATATTGATTTCATACTCAATAGTTTCTGATGTGCAGTAATGGCATCCGTCTCTTTTTTTCTGATACTCCTCGTTTGAATAAAGAGAATTTATTTCTATGCTGTGCAATAAATTCTACGTAATTCTCCAGAGTAAGATATATAAACGAATATAATAATGAGTGTAGACTGGTGTTCAGACATTTTGCCCCACACATGTACTCTCTGAGGTGTGTTTTAGTTGGGAAGTTTTCGTTGTCCTGCAAGACGACATCTTCAGAGCTCCATTATAATGTGACCTTCAGATATTTGTTCGACTAATTTTCCTTTTTCAGACCCATCCATGCTAGTCAATCAAAAGTTTCTTTATACATGAAACATTGGTGCAATATTTCATTATAAATCTAAGTTGCATGTATGGTTAATTTTGTGTCACAGTGATTTCATAATAGGCAGCAATCTCATTAGAGAACAAGTGTCTTCATTAAGCCATGTAACATTCACTAATATTTACTATGGATCAGCAAATGATCTAAGAATGATCATGAATTCTAAATATTCCCATTGTGAAGGTTGTATTCTCCACACAGATTTGGTGTATTTACTTAGTTTCGCTTTAATATATCTAAAATAGTTACAGGGATGTACAGCGTTTCTACGAAACTGTGCTAAAACCATATATCATACGACTAATTGAAAAATGTGAGTTGTGAAATAGTCTGTCCCTCTTTTTAAGGTTACTTGATCAGAGTGAAATTTTTCAATAATATTTCCCTTTATCATTTCACAGAATCAGTTCATTCTGGTTGTCTAATTTGAATATATATATTTGTTTTATAGGAATGCTATGAGCAACACAACAATTTGTTATATCGATATTATACTAATGGAAGTGGTATACCCGGAAATGGTTATGTACTTATTGTTGATGCAGAAGAAAGTGATTTATGCATAGGTTCAACAGCAGCATTTGCTGCGTCATGTCACATGGATCCTAGAACTGACAGGTAATTTACTGTATGCGGAAACAACAGTTCACCGTTTACATAACTTTTAGATATACAGCTTTACTAATTTCTAGGTATCTTTTTTGTAGAATTCATTTGTTAGTAACATGATGTATGTATTACTGAGAAGCTAATAGTGTCGCTATATGTCGCATCCCTATTCATCAATGTACCACTTATGAAGACTGCGACACTCGTATACTAATAGACACTAAGAAGGTAGAATGATGTAGGAGTTGCAATTCTTAGCCTTGGAAAGCTGCTTCTAAGATGCATTATATCATATACACTTCACATACAGCAACATCTATTACAGATGGATAGATGGCATTAACACGCATTCTGCATAACGTTTATCATTCCTGATCAGAAAGTAGACAAGAATGGGATGCTTATAAAATTTAATGATGTGCATTCATCACTCATTTTTAATTGTGATACAGGACAAGGTGGAAAATCGCATTTCCTTGATGTCCACTTGAGCAAAACATATGCTTTACTCAAGAGAGACGTTTACAGAAAACAAGCTGCCTTTTGGACAGTGTACAGATTTCCTCAGTTTCGTGCCCATCTAATACAAAAACGATTGGTGAGATGCCTCACGAATGAGAGAAGGATCTGTAATGATTATACGTGCATAAAGCACTGGTCCAAATGGGTTATCCTAGTGGATTTGCAAGGAGACATATGAGCACTGTGTACATAGAACAAAGAAAAACCAAAAGAATTGTTTTTGAAACTCCGATTCAATGGAGACGTGGCTAGTTCTACATCTAAGATTATCAAGACCCATAAACAAGGGACTTACACTAATGCCATGATTCCTTTGTCATTTTTCAGCCACTCAGCTGTGGTTGCTAGAGGATAAGTGGACAGTAAGCCACCAAGTCGTTCCACGTTTGTATGCACCGACATATTTGGCCGCTCACTTGGGGAAAGCTATGTAGTATAAATAACTAGACAGCTTAGCAAACGAATTAATAAGGATTTTCCCTCAAGGTTCTAAAAAGGTCAAACAAAATCTTTAAGGGACTCAACCTTGTTTCATTTAGTTGATAGCTGTCACTAAATTATGTACAGTTATGCAGGACCAAACTCCTTCTGAATGGGTAAGTTTCACGTGTGTTTTTAATAATCTTTTATATGTAATGTAGATATTTCTTTTATCTCGAAACGAAGATGTAAATCTGTATTTTCTATTTTAGGCCTAATGTTGGATACATGAACTTATGTCCAAGTCAGATGGACCTAACATATCCAGCTGGTAAAGCTTTACCAGGAATTATGATCCATGAAATCGGTCATGCACTGGTAAGCATGTTTTCATTTTAGCTTATGTAGTATCAGGTGTCAAATACAATTCAGTTAGAAAGTTTCTTGGAAATTTGAAATGACGTCTGAATAAATTACTGTTGTATGAACTCGCCTATATTTGGCATTCACAACAACATAATTCACATACCTTGCAGACATTGTTGTTTGTAACATAGAATTGATTAAAGATGCCCATTAGAAATTCTCTACGCATCATTATCGAACAAAGCATAGAATGGAAGTCAAATCACTACCTCAACTTCATCGACTTCGAAAAGACTTTCGATAGACAGCGTTGACCGAGAAGTAATGTGGAAACTATTTCAACACTATGGTGTGCAGTGCCCAAATCTTTATCAACCTCATTCAATAGCTGACTAATGACAATGCCACTTGTCAAGTGATCCACAACGGAAAACTCAGCGAGGCGTTTGAAGTCAATACAGAAGTAAGACAAGGCTTGCCGCCCATTGTCACTGATAATATTCTTAATTGAGGTGGACTGGATTATGCATCAGACTGTTGGGAAGAGTAGTCAGGAATACGCTGGACGACCGATAAGAAAACTCTATAAGATCTGGATTTCTCAGACGATATGTGTCTGATGTAACATAAACTCGAAGACTTGCAGACAAAAACCGACAAACTGGCTGAAGAGGCAGCGAAAACAGGACTGCAGGTGATCACAGAAAAGATGGAGGTGATGAAGATAACCAAAAAACCGCATCAGCAGAAGCAACAACCAGAACCAATAGCCATCAACGGGAGAGATTTGGCTGAAGTTACCTCCTTCATTTATCTGGGAAGACTGTTTCAACTACAGGCGGAACGAACGAAGATGTGAAATCCAGTCAGAATCGGAAAGGCAAGATACGCCTTCATCAACCTGAAAGCAGTTTGAAAATCTTCTGCACTCAGCATAGGGAACAAGATTCGTATTTTCAACACCAATGTCAAGTCGGTCAGTGCTCCTATGCGGGTCAGAAACTTGCACTGAGTATCAGTCACGAAAACGATTTCCAATGGGTTGCAGACTTTCATCAACAACCTTCTCTGTCTCCATACTGAAGATCGAATGACCAGAAAGAATTATCAACAAGAAACTCTGGCTAAGAACAAACCAAACAAGAGCCGATCGCTTAATAAAAATGTAGGAGAAAGTGGAGATGTATAGGGTATACATTGAGGAGGCCACCGAATGACATCATTAGCCAGGCTCTTGAGTGGAATCCCAATGGGAAGTGACGAGTAAGTTGACCTAGGGTGACATGGAGGAGATCGTGTGAAGAAAAGATGGGAGAATTTGGCCAGTCTTGGTCCCAGATGAAGAGGACGGTAGAAAACAGGACGAAGTGGAGATGTGCTGTTGATGCCGTATGTTCCACTCGGAACGCAAGGGAATAATGATAATATAATGATTAGAAATTCTAAAGGAGTGAATAAAAAATATTTTACAGTTTTATATCCATAATATTGCAAGAAATATAATTACTGACAACATGAAAGTTTCTTTTAAATAAAGCAGAATCATTGACATCAAAATTTAAAAGCTTAAATGCAAACACACTGTTATAGATCACAGTTCAAAGCGTGTCTATATGATAGAAGGCGTAAATGCAACACTAAATTGAACACCAGTATTCCAAAGTATATGATCGTGAATAACAACGAATATACAGCGATCCAATCAATGACTCAAGTACACGCTATATATTCAAAAGAACTACGTTCAACGGCTGTCTCTACCATGGCTATCATTAAAAATCAATCTTCTCAGTAGTGATTATCCTATTACGTTTCCTATCCAATCTTTTTGTTTTTTTTTCAAGGTTTTAATTCCAGTCTGCTTTACTATATCTTTTTAACCTAACTGATAGTCTATTTTGTTATTACTATGGTTTTAATTCCTAGTTGTACAAAGGGTCTAGTTTCTCGGTAATCATGATCCTATCATAGTTTATATCCGATCTTCCTGTTTATTACACTTCGTAGTTTTATTAACTTGCCCACTGACCGGAAATAGTGCTGGAACTTGCTTACCTATTCATTATTAGTACACGAACGTACAGCCTAGCTGATGAATTCGTCGCTGGACCTGTTTCTTTTGCGCCCAGAGCTTTGGTTGCTTTAAGCGAATTGTAAAAGCCTTTGCTGTTTGGATTATCCGATACACTTAGTTCACATCCGAAGAAGTGAATGATTCTTCAATGTAGCCAGCTTTATGGCTTGTTTGGATGACGTGATCTAATATCAAACTGTTGATAGTTTTAACTACACTTGTATTTAGTCACACTAGTAAGGGTTATCGAGCACGGAAAATTCATTTGGATGTGATGTTTTACTTATGCAACTTTTATTATCTTGCAAATAAATCTACATGGATATGCTGAATATGCACTTTTTTATATTTCAGGGATTCACATCCAGTAGTTTTCCATTTATGCGTGATTCATATGGACGTCCTCGAACTCCTAGAGATTGGCATAATAAGCCAATGTATAAAGACGAATATGGGGAGTATATTCCAAGGTAATTTCTTTACACAAAAATTTCTTTGAAATGCCTTTAAAAAGGAGCGAATTAACTTTTCAGGTAATGTACTAACATGTATGTTTATGAAAGTGTCTTTGTTATGTCAGCAGTCATACATATGATTAGAAAAATATTCATTCCACCGATGCCTTTATTTCTGTGATTGTATCGATTGTTTGCATTTAAACCTGAGCTCATTTTCTATATTTGTGACATGGTTTCGTCATAGTCAATCTACCGGAAGTTCTAAACACAAGCTCCTTGTTTTTGTTAACACACGTCGACAAGACATAATTGTAACCCCTGAAAGATATTAGCCTTCGTCACCCAGCCTTCCAATCAGGCCCATTATTATTATTCCCTTGTGTTCCTAGTGGAACATAGGGCTTCAACTACACGTCTCCACTTGCTTCTGTCTTCTGCCGTACTTTTCACTTGCATCTATGTTAGTCCATACTGTTTCAACTCCTCTTCACACGATCTCCTCCATGTCACCCTTGCACCAACGTCCCACTCGCCGCTTCCCATTCGGGTTCCACTCAAGCATTGGCCTGACGCGCGATGTCACCCAGCGGCCTCCTCAGCGAGTGTCCAATCCATCTCCACTTTCTCCTGCATATTTGTTGGGCGATTGGTTCTAGTTTTGTTTGTTCCCAGAGTTTCTTGTTGGTGATTCTTTCCGGCCGGCCATCTGATCTTCAGTATAGTGCGAAGACAGTTGTTGATAAAGGTCTGCAACAGGCTGTTGAAAATATTCTTTGTGACCCGCCAAGTTTCTGATCTGTATAGAAGAACTGACTGACTTGACGTTTGTATTGAAAATCCGAATCATTTTGTTGTTGATGCAGGCTGAGTGACGAAGATTTCCAGATTGGTTTCAGGTTGATGAATGTGTTTCTCGCCTTCCCGATTCTCGATTTGACATCCTCGTTCGTTCCTCCTGTAGTTGAGACAATGCTCCCTAGATAAGTGAAAGAAGTAACCTCTTTCAAATCCCTCACGTTGATGGTGATTGGCACTGGATGTTACTGCTGCTGTTGTTGTTGGTTGGTTATTTTCATAACCTCTGTCTTGTTTATGTTCACCTGGAGTCCTGTCTTCTCTGGCTGCTTCTTCGACCAAGCAGTTTGTCGGTTTTCGCTTGTAAGTCATCGATTTTGTGTGACATCAAACGTAAATCATCCACACGCGAAATCCAGGTCTTCTAGGTTCTTCACGTCGGTCCAGGATATCCCTGTCTTCTCGTTTCTCACTGTCTGACGCATAATCCAGTCCACGACAATTAGGAATATCATTGGTGATAATAAGCACCCTTATCTGACTCCTGTGTTTACTCCAAACGCCTCGCTGAGTTTTCCGTAGTGGATCACTTGACATGTGCCGTTGTCGCACAATCAGGCCCATTACCTCTGGCCTAATTTGAAATAGATTCGCCCCGGCATAAACATGTTGGATACAATGATAAGTCTACAGAGGGCGACAAGCATCATGTTTTCTAGTCTTTTAATGGTGGCAGCATTCTATAAGTCTCTCATCTTGTCAGTGTATAAGCTTGGAGATTATTACCCACTCCCTATAACTACCTCGAATCAAATCAGCTGCAGAACGGTGGTGAACAAACTAATGTCTGCTGACACGGGAAACTTATAGGGAATATTCAGTCACACTATGAACCAGACCATATGATAATGGTTCCTTTTCATCCATAGAACAACGTATTTTTCCGTTACACTTTTGTTCAGTGATACCTATTCCTATATATTCTAAAATAATGGACGAAATATTCCTATACTGAGTCATTAGAAAAAGACGTAAACAGCGAAGAAAAGTTCCTTTTCCACGATCCATTTTCATAAGCAGTATAATCGTGATTATATTTAATAATGAGACTATAAGATCAATCAGATATTGTCCTCGAAAAAGCATTACGAAACGCAAGGTGTGACCTAGAAGGGGTGACAGAATGGAAATTAGAAAAGAGGCAGAATTCGGCATGACGTAATAAGTGTGAGTGTGTAGAGTGGACAGGAACTAGTGGAAAGACGACAAAGTGTTTTTACAAAATTTGTATGAAAACTCAATGTTATTAATAAACAGCAATATTTAATAGTGTGAAATATTCCCATATCATGAATTAAAAGTCAATCTGAACGAAGAATATTCATTATAATAAAGGTTTCTGCATTTCCCAATGAATGAAAAACAAAACGATATTGCTTTTACTGGCGTTTCGCCATTTAATGCTAATAGCTTTATCAAGGTATTATTAAACCGGAATTTACAAATCTCAGCATATATATAACAAAGAGTTAGGGGTTGAGAAAATAGACTTAGTTCAAGTTAAAGGGACATATTGAAAGTCAAATAGCAATGAAGATAACTAAACCAAATAACAAAAGTAATAGTACGTCTGTTATGATATCAAAATAGTTTAATAACTTGATCATCGTTCATCTGTCTGGTGACATTTTTCGTTGTCAAGTTGACCAATTGGAAAAGATAACAAAATCAAGTGTAGATTGTTGGAATTGATCAGTGAGTAAAATTACATAGACAGTGTGTGTTTTCATATTGAACTTGCATATCACATTCGTGTTGATTTTGTCACTTCGTGGGGGAGGGGAGGAAGGCGTTGTAACCAGGTCAGATTCTGTTTTAGTCCATCATTCCTGTTCAGACAATTTGGAAGAATATTCTTCTCAATAATTTCTTCTCTTCAGGTTCTTACAATTATAAAATTTAATGTTTGTTGTCGTTACAGTAATGACCATTTATGCAGCGGATATATTTTACATAGAATAACAGATTAGTTATGGGATGTCAAAATAAATAGTCGTGCTAGGCTGAAATCGATTACAAAATATTGTAAAACGGGTGACAATAGTGGTGATCAGTCATAATAGATTTGTAGAGTGTGGGCAGGAAAAACTGACAAGTCAGTTCAAGGTTTTAAAAAGTGTCAGGGGAGTGGCTAGTACAAAGTAGTGTGTATCAAAGAGGAGATAGCAAGACTGCAATGAGAGGTTCATAATGAAATAACTAAAGTGTGAAATGAAACAGGTGGAGGCATATAATGAGAAAAGACAATTCCAACCGTGGTGTGAACACGAGCAGTAATTTTGCTCGAAATATTACCAATAACAAAACTTATCATTGTGTGTAAACTATTGATATATAATTATACTTTATTTGATCTAATCCACAATGCTCAAACTTTTTACTGAGAAAAGACTCACCTGACACCTTTTATAACCTTCAACTGACTTGTCAGTTTTCCTACCCTACACTCTACGAATCTATTATAACTAATCACCATCATTGTCTCCCATTTCACAATATTTATTGTTGATCTCAGCCTAGCACGTTTGTCATACAAATACTATTACTTATTTTGACACCCATAGCAAATGTGTTATTCTACGTCAAAAATGTATCCGCCTCATAACTGGCTATTATTGGAACGACAACAAATATTATCATTTTATAATTGTATGAACCTGAAGAGGAGAAATTATTGGAAAGAATATTCTTCGTTCAGACTGACTTTTAAACAATAATGGACTGATAACAAAATATGGATGATGATGAAATAATAATAACAATAATAATAGTAAACTTACATAATAAAAAAGAAGTAAAACCATAGTAAGAACGCTACTGTGGCCACGGTAGCTCCAGTGAATGTATGTAGTGCTTTCGAATGCAGAGGTCCGGTTTCAAATTGCGAATAGCCAGTGATTCAACTATATACAGATAACGTATTCTAAGTCCTTTTGTAGGATATTGAGGGACTCTGTCTAGCACTATGAAGCATTCATGTGGGGATGCTCGATGTCCAGAGTTAACGGTGAAGTCTCGCGCTCTTTTATTAAAACATTTGGTATATGGGAGGTGATTTATATTTGAATTACTACAAACTTGCCAACGAAGAAGGAGATAGAATGACTTCCAACCACACGGTTTACGAGAAATCATTCGCACAAGTATTCATACAGCACATATTCCAATCTTCAATCTTTATAAAGATGCAATGAAAATAATTTGTAGACAGAAATTATTACTGTATCTTGAAAACTGAAGGCTGAAGAGTGAAATTATAACTATGTTACCCATGAGACGATTAAACATTTGCCACTATACTAATGGAAAATTTCATGCATATGTCAGTGTTTTAGATGTTGTGTCGATAAAACATAAGAAATGCTAGTGTATATTCGGCTAATGAGATTTCATTTGATGAAAAAATTTATACCTAACTGTAGTAAACATAACGACCAAACTTCACCGAGTTTGGTAAACAAAAGTTTAGTAATCAAAGCTTTAAAAGTCATATATGTTAAAATTAAAATTACCACATTGATTTTCACCCTGGTCGTGTTGAAATTAGTAATCAACTGAATGTATTTTGTAGTACCAATACAATCAGAAATATCAGAAGACGTTGGATAAGTGCTGCAGGAAACTATACGAAAACTATTGGATCTTTTGTCACTCCAAAAATATTGGTAAGTTCTTCTGATTGAACGCGGGTTGATTCAGACAAGTGTTGTTGAATATGCAGTCGAGATAACATGAAGATAAGACGCTAATATGATCTACCACCGACTATTTTAGCCTTTACCCTAACAAAATGAATAGATGTGCATCAGTGTTGTAATCTCTTCTCAATTTATTTTGAGCATGTGTAACCTCATGATGAGTAAATCGATAGTTGAGTAAGGTCGTTTTTTTCAGGAGGGATTAACCTTTTTACCTTTGTGTAAATAGCTGATAGATTCACTGTGACGATATTCGAACTAATATAAGACCTGCATAGCAATATGATATGAAAAGTATTGATAGAACAAGAAGGGTGATCACAGTTTTGTTATTTAATGGCTATATAAATGTTTGATGACCCTAGTCACAAAATGTAAACGTGAATCTTAAATACGTATCTCAGAAAAAAATACACTCCCATGTAAACAATCATAACTCTTAACAGAATTCGTAAATCTACTTTGAATGAACTTTAAGCTAGTTGACTGAACTGTTCAGTGTTCGTTCCGTGTTTAAGGCATTAAATTCAAACAAATTGAAGACGCTGTCCTACAGAAAATCTTGTTGGAATTCCTAGGATTCATTTAAATTTAGGAAGGTGTTCTACTTTATGGTAGAAACTTAAGTCTTACAGAAACATTTTATGGAGTTGGCGGTTCCTAATTAATACTCAAACTAATATAATTACAGTATTTTCTTCTGTGTTTCAGTACTTATAATAGTGAAAACAAAAGTTATTTTTGATCATTAGATCTTCCGCAAGAATCAACATCGGTTATACAGAACAATGAAAACCAGCCATGAACACCAGAAAACTGCTATGTCCTGGTTTTGTCTCTTCGTCACAGTGCACCCATGACCCCATGACCTTCAGGTTACTAAACCAAGCTCGCTAGCGATCCACCACTTGGGTTGCAATTCAGTGATCCTTGAATTTTAATTCTGTCAAACCGTGATATAGTGATGCTTTCGCCAATGCCTTCAATGAACAGACACTTCACCTTGACTTAGCGGATCCCACTGGTCACCACAGCTTCGGGGAATCTATCCAGTCACTATCAGTGAGCTGGAGAGTGATGTTCAGATTATAGGATTTGTGAGAATTTTCGATCACTTGCAATGGACAGATTTTCATTGTAAACTAACATTATCCGAAATCCCCCATAAATCCTATAACCTTAGAAGTCATTTTCAATTGAAGTAAACATTATAATAAGTGGAGAGAAATTGCAGAAACAAAGATAAATTTCATATGAACTGTAGTCAAGATTTCACAGAATAGTTCTAAAATATTTGGCAGCCGAGTGAGAAGTAGACATTTGTAAATCTCAGCGAAATTGAAATGAGTAATTCCAACGTTTCGTTCGGTAAACTGGTCCGAACTTCTGCAGAGAAATCAATCGAAATTAACATAACAGAAGACATCTCTTGTTTTTTAAAAACTTTGTCCAGTCATGAGCCATGAAACAGGTATCAGCATGTATAATAAACAAAATTGTATGAGTTGTGATCAAAATTTGACCTCGGACTTACAAATATTGGTCTACTTATTTTAAACACTTTAAACAGAGTGTACTTTTCATCAGAATTTTAGTGATTACGTTTGACTAAAAGTTCATGGTCCTAGATAACTGAATATGAAAATATTTGTGTATGTGTGTGTGTGGGTAAACAGTGATAAAACATCTGTTAACGTCTCCATAAGAAGATATAGACAATCGGGAATTTTGAAAAAGTACATATCCATTTTTATTTTTTAATTAGTCAGGATTTGTCATGCATCAGCTAATATGACACCTTCATGTCTGTTCAAACTGTTAGTATCTATAATTTTATAATTAGACGTATTTTCAAAATTATGGTGTTTAGGATTAGAGTTTAGTTGAAGCACCCCTTCTTTTTGAAGATTGAGCTGCTTTATTCGACCTACTGGAGTTGTCAGATGAATCGACAGCTAAGGATTTAGGATATGCATTCTGGTGCAGACAACGGCGAGTGAAAACACGATGATTGTGCCAATTACATATAATTTCATAGTATTTGTTTCATTCTATTTTGAGATTATTAAGAATATAAATAATCATAAGTTCAGTTGAAGTTCCTGTTATTGAACTTTAATTCACTGCCTGTTGTGATAAGTTTCCATTCCTGTTGTTAATATGGCTACATGTGAATGTATCTATTGTTGATACTTTATGATAACGCATATTGTGAAATGTAAAAGGCTTCAAAATAAAAGATCTGATAGGATCCCACACACTTTGTTATTGTTCAATTATTTTACCGACTGTTAATCTCGCATATGTGGTATAACATCACTTCCCAGGCACTTTGTTATTGTTCAATTATCTTAGGGACTGTTAATCTCGCATAAGTGGTATATCATCATTTCCCACGCATTTTGTTATTGACTATTACGACCAATTATTTCAAATACTGTTAGGTGTCTGTATTGGTTGTAAAAATGTATAAATACCATTTCCTAAATAAGTTTCTTTGTAGTCGTAGTTTGTCGTAGTTGTTGTACTACAATACACAGTCAGAGACCAAACTTTGTCTTTTGATATTTGCGTGGTTCGCTGAATCGGAAGGTACCAGAAGCAGATAGGCATATTAGTCAGGCGCAGACAGAACAAGGCGACAACGTCCTCATTTAATATCCTCACGGTTATAACAAGATCACGGGATTATGACAGAGATAATGAATATTAGGTTACCCAGTTATCACTCACAAACAATTTAAGAGTTTTAAATCTGCACCATTGCCGTACCATGCAGACATTATAAAATTCTGATGGTTCTCTAGATAATATGTTTTCATGTCTAGACCTATTTTAATGCTCATTGAATCTCCATTAAATGAAAGATAGTGTCATTTTTTAATTTTTAATTTTAGGAAGCTGCTAGGAGATATTTTAATTGTCATACTTTAGATGGAGTTGATTTAGAACACTACAATATAATAGGATCGGTTGGATCTCACTGGGCTACAAAAATATTAGGAGTAAGTTAAACAATGATGACAAATTAACTTTTTCTACTGATGCCTCTTATATAATGAATGTCCGCGCTGATTTTGACTTTCTGAATGATTTAAAGTTTAGAAAACATTAGAGAATTGAATTCGTCCTATCATGCTTAAAATCAAAACAATTTTCCAGGCTCATTGTAGACATTAAACCTAATAATTTGATAATTTTGATTACAGCTTGATGCCACACCGTATTTTCAGTACAAGTATGGAATCTTCAGCATGGATATCGGTAGCACAAATTTTGCAGGCCGACCATATATATCGGGTGTGCGTCAGCAGGGGATCGAACCACGGACCTTGTGCATGGTCGGCGAGAGTCCCAAACACTGGTTACAGGACTGATTACGAGATGACATCAGTTAGAAATCCACTAGTAAACCTGGGAGTACTGGATATCCGTTGCGTCCTAGTTCTTGGACTCTTCATCAGTATCAGTAGGTCGTTACTTGGGTTATAGTAAGAAGTCGTGACAAGTGGGGCACAGCAGATCCGGTTTGAGAACAGATGCTCGCCGAAGTAACTGGCTGGTTGTCAAACTATATCATGAATTGGAAGAAGTTGGAATTCGTCGACCACTGGATCCGTGCCTAGTGACTTAATGGTCTACGAGCTCGTCTAGTAGGTGGAAGGAGCTGGGTTTGAACCCTTTGGTGGCACGTACTCCTGAGGAGTCTCGAACTAAAATGTAACAGCTGTCCAGAACTCTCACGTCTTCCAATGGTTCTCTAACTGATGTCATCTCATGACGAAATCCTGTAACCATTCAGATGGCCGCAAACCAACCCTTGAATAACAAGGAAAGAGATCTGAATTTTTCAACACAAATGTGAAGTTAGAGCTTCTTTATGGTCCAAAGAATTTGCGCGTGTGAACAGAAACATTCCGAACAAGCTGCATACTTTGACCAGCAGCTGTCCATACTTAAGGTCAGTTGGCTGGCAGGAAAGGGTTAGCATCAGTGAACTCTTCCTAATAGAGAACCAGCCAAGAACCGCTTGCTCGACGAATGTGCAGAACGAAATGGAGTTGGATAGATTGAACCTGGTGATATCGCACGTCAACCTCTAGAGTGAAAGCCGGGTGGAAAGTCAGAGATGAGTGTTGAGTCCGCGTAAGACATAAAAACCATGTGAGGACGAAATGAAAGATTGTTAAAAGTCATACGGCTAGTTGAAAGTGACTTCACAAAACCGAACCCAGTAGAGATGTGTTGCAGGAGCTCCCTGTCTAAATCAGATAAGACAGGCAGAACTTGCATTACAATTACCAATGAAATGTAAGTATATGTTTGAAGCGGTTAAACTACAGGGGAGTCATCTCCCGGCATTATCCATAAAGCAAGTCGTAATAATTCACAAGCAGTTACTAATATTTTTCAACATATTTCTTAGGGTTTTAAAAGCATCCACAATTTTATTGGATATAGAATAATATACCAAAAATGTAGGATCTTGAAAATCCTACTTTGAATATTTTGGCTGTTCACTTTCAACTTTTTAATTTCAGACCGAAGTAATGGCACCAAGAATAATGATAGACTATGCCGTTTCTGAAATTACTTTAGCTTTCTTTGAAGATTCGGGGTAAGCAAATTTCACAGTTGATTTCTCCAGACTAAATGCGTGATAGACCCAGAATTATTCTGATACCTTTTAAGTGAAGTAGACTTTAATTATATGATATGGGGGAAATCTTTACCGTCAAACCGTTTTATTCATATTTAACTTATATTTCTTCTGATGGATTTTACCCGATATATGCATATACATATTTGAGCAATCTAACCATATATTTAACCTGTAGATCTTAGTTTCCGTTCATTTCGGAGTCGTGGTTGCACGCAGCTGAACAGACTCAGTTTAGAAGAAATCATCTGTTCAGTGCTACATGTTTTATAATGATTCTTTAACTAATTCCTTGTAACCAGAATGTTCTGGGTTCGAAACCTGGCTGTGGATGCGTACTAATAAAGAGTCCCAAACCAGGAGGACGGAAACCACAAGTTCTCTAGTGGTTCTGTAACTGATATCATCTAATGATGAAATCCTGTAACCAATCAATCAAATCCCTACAAACCACTATTTGAAAATAATGCTATTCGGTTACAAATTCATTCACGAAATTAGATCAGTGCCCACAAACTATAGTTAATGCTATCTGCTATATATTTTATTCTGAGCTATGGAAGTGTGAAATGATAATACAATCATCTCCAGAGGGCGTGCTGAAACTGAAATTCAAGTACCGATAAAACATAAGAAAGCTATGAATGTGTGTTGAATTTGAATATGAATTTACTGAGAAAAATTTAGTATAATGGCGTACTGTTTTCGAAAAGAGTAAAAGTGAATATGAAGACATCTTATATAAAGTTGTCGGACTAAACACTTTGTCTATCTGTTATCGGCGTCAAAGAGACAAGGCCATTCAAATGATCTTACTGTAAACAAAATCGCGCGTCGTTGGTTTAGAGATAGAATGTCCATCAAACACACACGTCATCTGCGGTTTGATCCCCAGCTGATGTACTCATAAACCTCGCTTGGCAGGTAGTGAGTGCATTGGTGTGGGGTTAGCAGCCTCACCTCGTAAAAACAACACTACTACTACTGAAACTTTAAAGCTCAAGTTTGAAGACCTGTTTTCCAATCGGAACGGAAAGGAGTAAATAATTATAGACATAGTCCCAGTGTCTTATTCAGATAAATCCACCTGTCTTCCTTATACACACGACACAACATCTAATGACAAAATAAAAGATTCCAGGAAATTCGCATATTAGATAAGCCAGGGAGATTGTAGGCATTTGGGTTTTATACTATATTTTCTTTCTTTCTATTGATGATTTCTGTACCGAGGAGTAAATCAGGGTAAATTGTCAAATATATTTGATGAATGAGTATATGTATTACTCCATGAAATAGAATAAGTGAATACAAGTGATTAGTATCTCAATCTACTTATATCAACAGACAAATTTGGGTAGATTGCTGTTTCCAGGAATCTTTTTCTTGTCGTTACTATTCAGTTTATTTAAGCACTCAATGATTCAACTACTGTTCGTTTACAATGTGAAAAATTAAATCTAGAGCTGTTCCGTCGCCCTAGCTGTAATGTGCTAAAGGATGCGCAGTTATCTGCCTACAGTATACACTTTTATGACTGTCGTCACCTGATTTTAGCGTCAACACCTCGATCTTAGATGTGAGAAAATTGATTTTACAGTGTTTATCTGCTTGAGACAAAACTCTGGTAATATAGTCTCTTCCAAAAAAACAGTATACAGTTGTGATGAAGAAACACGGCAAACACCTATACAGTTATATCTTTATTAGTACCATTAAGATGGAAGGCTGTTTACTGGAGACAATAGTCTCACTAGTCACTGAAAAATATCATATCGGTTATTAAGAAACTGATATTATGTAACGTGAATGATCACTGTCTGTGTTATTTGCGAAAGGGTAGAGCAAGGACTGATTAGCTTCGTTAATTTTTGAGGAGTAGGCAAATTTGGATACTTTATCTAGAACTACCGAATTACACAATTTGAGGGGGAAACACACAACAGTTGCCCTTAAAAAAGAAAATCACCCACACTACATTATGTAGTCCACTTTGTCCCATAAGTGGAGACCAAGAGGGTAAGCAAAATACCATGACCATATATACAGTTGATTGAATTAAGTAGCCGAAAACCGCTCACGCCAAAATTTCCTACCTTTAACTGTGTAATTTGTGAACGATGAATTTATTTCAAGTGTCCAGTTTTCGGAATAGATCCAACTTTGTGGATCGATTCCAAACTAGTGTGTGGCTGGATGAAAACAGCCTCAATCGAGGAAAACTACTGTCAAGTGTTCAGGTTACTTTGACCTGGTAAGCAAGTAACACTGTTTGATGCGAATAATTCCTGACTGCTCATATCGAAAGACTAATATCTCTCCATAAAGAATTCTACAGTTTGACTAGAAACACTAGAGAGTGACTACTACACCTATTCGATCCAACGTTACATAATAAAAAACAGTTTGGGAAATAAGTCAGGAGTAAATTTTACGAATATTAGAACCTGAAATATGTGGAAAATTAGTGTAAATTAAATATATAATCATTTTGACTGACCTGGGTTTTTTTCAGATGGTACAAAGTGAATTACAAAGCAGCAATGAACATGCAATATGGCAAAAATCTTGGATGTGACTTTGCAACTAAGAGTTGCTATGAATATGCGGATATTCAAAGGAAAAAGTAAGAATCACTTTTACTTCTTAATTTTCACATCTTCCACAGAAAAATTCATCAAGAACCCACGTAATTTACAAAACCATCTAAATAGGGTAGCTCTGAAGAACTGTCCCGATTTTTAAAATTGACTAGAATATGAGATTTAGTTTTTAACAACTCAAAATATGTTGAAAGTACAGTTGCTGAGTACAACTAGTGTGATGACAGCTGGTTGCTAACCAGAATCGCAGACAACAATTTACGTCAATGTTTACCTCCCGAATCGGGGTCATGAGAAAAAACAGTAACAAAACTTAACCTTAAGGAACTCACCAGCGAATCACAGCAGAATTAACGTGTGCAAATACGATTTGCAGATATATGGCCATCACTTTCTGAGAAACGGTCGCAAGCAGTACAGACTAACCTTCAGCAAGGAAAAAACCAATCAGAAGGCGTTGCTCCTCCACTGACAATGATGTACATAAAAACCTACAAATATCTCTTGATTTCCTCAATAAAGGATCTGTTGCCTGGCCCTTGTCCTCTGTCGTTACACTAGGAATTAAGTTCTACGGAAGATAGGACAAATAAGGGAAGCTCTACCAACTTATGCTTTCTAACCCTACATTTTAACAAAAATAAGTTTCCGTGATTTGCTAATACATATAAGGAAACTTGTTCAACAACAGACGCGTCGAATTATTCCGTCTTCATATGAACCACCTAGTTTTATGCGATGCACATTCATGCAGAATCAGATTTTCATTGAAAACAACTTCTGATATGAGCTTAAAATCATAGGTACCTTTGAGTCCTACTGTAATTCAAGTAGATATGCTGCATTCAATAAACTTATATGGCTTCTATGAAAAATGTACAGTCATTTTCATGTTATCAGATTTTAAACCATTTAAAAATTTTATTTTATACAGGCTTTTGAATTTTCGCTCAATTTTATTACATTCTTTTTACTTTAAAGGGGTCAAAAATTCACACCTTTCTGTGACAATAACAGTCAAGCAACGTGTAGAGATGCTTATTCTTATGGGATTTGCAGCATAAGGACGTATGGTGATGGTGTGCCAGCAGAAGATCAGTTTTTCAAAAGACCACCTTATGCTTCTACTTATAGTGCTAGACAATTTGGAGGTGATGATCCGCATAGAGATTTCTGTCCAACCCAAACGGTAGGTATATTCTGGAAAATTTGATTCTGTTTAAGATAGTGATTTTGATGGTGACAGGAACGTCTTATTGACAGACTAGATGAATTTATAGCATTACCTCCACAAGTACAGCATGCTGTATGTAGGTCCGTCTGAAGTTGATGATCTATGCTGAGTTGTATAAAGCGCTCTGGTCCTTCTTCAGGGGAAAAATGGTAGAGAAATTCTAAGTAATTAGGAATTATGTTTTATAAACCAAGGAAATGTTATTACTGTGATATGTTATGGGTAGAAGAATCAGACGAAAATGCAACGGATACAGGTATGGTAGCTAAGAAAATGTCTCATAACTGCATTATATAAATATATATGCTGCACCTCATTCTGACTAATTTCCTGGACAATCTGTAAATGCTTACAATCAGGTGAATTGCTTATATTTTTAAAAGTACGGGCAGCAACTTCTAGGAAAGAATAAAAGCACCGAAGAACAACTGTAATTTATCAAGTATGTTAGTTTTGAAGAGGGGGATAGAATGAGTAATGTGTTGATTGTTCAGTAGTAGAATGCCCACCAACCACGTACGTGGACCGGAATTCGATCTCCCGCAGACGTCCGAGAGGTAGTAAGCCCGAAAAGGAGAGAAGGCTGGTCATGAGGCAATCAGCTACACCCTGTAAGAAACAAGATCACTTCTACTGAAAATTCAGAATGCAAGCCTGAAGCCTTGTGTTCCATTAGGCACGCAAAGGAATGATCAAATCTTCGAATGTTTCCTGTACTAGACACTTTTAAAGCGGAAGTATTTGGTAGAGTTCATACTGCGTGTTTTCCAGGTAGCTGGCAGAACAGCGAATACCGTGAAATGTTGCAAATCTCATCATTTTGTGAAAAACTTCCAAAAATCTGTTCTCAGATCCAATAATTCTTTGATAATTACTGATTTTTTCTATAAACTTCGGTACATTACTTAATTCATTTTGAACTTCTTCATTGATTGACTGGATTGAAGTGCTTGATCTCAGGTTGAGACGTCAGCCCATTGTGCAGATGTTCGACAATGTCTGATTATTTAACGTGAATTGCATTAGTGGACAGTGACTGGTAGTGGAATTCAGGATGCTCATTTATTCCTATTCGCGACTCGTCAGCTGGACGAAGTGCGCATCCTGGATCCCACTACTCGTTACTATTCACCAATTTACTTTAGGCACATTAAACATGGTGAATAGCATTTAGCTGAAGTCAGTTTTAATTCTCGGCTTTTTATCCTTACAGTATGTAAGTAGCCTCGGAACTGATTACAAAGCAACTTCTTTCTGCACTCATACTGAAAACATAGAAAGATCAAGTAAGTAGTTTGTGTCAATTTTTTTTCGAAATATCTTGTAAATGCAATGCAGAAAACGCACTACCTGAAGTCACGAAATGTTTTTCTTAATGTGAATGTTGATTTTATTCAAAAGAAACTTGTAAATTTTATTCCACAGAGTATTAAATGCAAACAGTATTATCTAATACTAAGAACGTTGGAATTCATATAAATTATGTTGGCAACGATTATTTTTTAATTGGGAATTTAATTTTCTAGAAAGGATATTGCAATACAGTAATAAATTTTGCTTCGTATCTAAAATCAGCATAAAATTTATGTTGGGATAATGAATTCATCACTCACGAATCACATTTCGATGGTGAAGCTATTAGAGTTAACCCAAAATTATTCGCATTGCAATATTCAATCTGATTGATATCATAAGTGGCCATCAAGAAAGCAAATGAAGTAATTCGATTTTATATACGATCGTTTCATTGACTGATGTATCTAGTTTCGTGCGTTCCACGTCAAACTGTAGCTCTGTTTATTGAGATCAAGGTGTCCTCTATGCCGGATGGCCTTCTCACTCGTTTGGAGCTGCATCAGTCATCAGTATACCCGATTGTAATCATTTCAAACTGCTGGAAAAGTACAAACCACTGAGATATAAGCGATATATTAATATTGGTAATACGTATGTATTACCATGTACTGTGTGGCTAACGAATGACATATTCGATTCTGTATATCATCAACTCACTCAACTACCCGCTTACATCTCAGTTTTACCTGGTTCGGATTTCTGAACTGAATCGAGGCGGATATACTTCTGGTGAGCGCAAACGAGTGAGATGGCTGCTCATTGTATGGCACACCTCTGTCTGCCTAGAAGAAACTACCTATCTGTCTGTGTGGATTCAACACAGAACTTGGCACTGAAGTGCAGCAGTTCGAGTTGCCGCGTTCCAAATAACACACAAAGGTAGACAAGAAGATGAGTGAAGAAAATCAATAGAGTTTTGACAAGTGTAAGAGTGAAACAGAATGAGTAATGGTAGAAAGGAATATGAAAGACTACAGAGACTGAATACATCTGCACCATTGACAACGATGTTGAGCCATGTCACCTATTGTCTCCAGCCATTGATTCTTAGAGTCCCGAAGGCCCCAACCCGGAAGTCTGCATCTCCCTCCCTACCTGACTCAGTTTAACTGTCAAGGATGTCATGGATTGATGAGGCCATGTTTTTGTTTGGCCACCACTTACTCTTTTCCAACCTGCACCAATATCAGCTAGTAATGCCCGTCCGTTGGGGGAGGCGATGGTTAGGCATGCGTTGCACGTGACCTAGCCATCTCAATCTATGTAACTTTATAGCCTCGTCGATTGATTTTCCCTCTTTGCCCAACACTTTGCCTGACGTCAACATTACTTACCTTATTATACCACCTAACGTGGGAAAGAGATCGTAGACATCTATGATCAAAAACAGTCAACCTTTTCATGTCTTCAACTCGTATTGGCCACGTTTCAGGGGCATAGAGAAGGACGGAGTAAAGTGCTGAGCAGTATACACGTCCCTTGGTTGACAGCCGGATGTCACGCCTACGCCAGAGATGGCGTAAGTTAGCGGAAGCAGCTCGAGCTTTTTGCATTCGTGCTGAGATTTCTTCACCAATCAATCCGTTGGTGCTGATAAAACTTCCCAAATAGGTGAAGTGGTCAACATGTTCTATCACTTCACTCCCTATCACTAAACTAGGAGTTGACGTAGTCCAGTCCTGTAGCAGCATCTTACATTTTACAGGGGCGAATCGCATGCCAAACATACGAAGATTGCTGCTCAAGGTGTTCAGAAGACTCTGTATTTTGTCAGAATCCTCCCATAACGGGACTATGTCGCCTGCATATTCTAAGTCCATAAGACTATTCCTTGGTAACAAGTCGATTCCTAAGTCGTTAAGTTCAGTTAAGGATACTTCCATTAGCATATCTATGATGAAGTTAAACAGAAAAGGGGAAAGTGGACATCCTTGACGGACACCACTGGTTGTTATCAATTCAGATGACAATTCCCCATAAGCCCTTACATGGTTATGTGAGTTTGAGTGGAGTGCCTTGATTAGTGCAATGTACTTTCTTGGCACTCCCTTCACAGTCAAACATTGCCATAGTACCCCTCGATCCACGGAGTCGAAGGCCGCCTTCAGGTCAAGAAATATGTCAAATGTTAGACACCGAAAAGTGTGTCTATGTTCTAGGATCTGTCGGAGAGTGAAGATATGATCTATGCACCCTCTACCTGGTCTAAAGCCTGCTTGATTTTCCCTCGTTTGTTCCTCCCAAGTTCTGCTTAGTCTGTGCATGATTATCGAGCCTAGGATTTTAGAAACTATGTTCGTTACTCTGATCCCTCTATGATTATTACATGAGGACTTGTCTCCCTTCTTGAATATCGGTATAATAAGTGATTTATCCCAGTCTGATGGAACCGATTCTGATTCCCAGACGTTACCTAGTACCTAAATTAATCTACATACCAGTATGTCACCCCCATATTTAAACACCTCCGGTATAATTCCGTCGGGTCCTTCCACTTTGCCTCGTTTCAAATTACAGATAGCTTTTGTGTCTATATTCCACTCAGGTGTGTGCTGGATGGCGGGGAGGTTCAGTGGGGCTGTAGACAATTTAAATTGTTCCTCAAAATGTCCTTTCCAGCGTTCAAGGCGTCTATCCTGAGAGCTAATAAAGGAGCTATTTTTCTCAGAAATAGTCTCACTTATGATTTGCCTTCTCCCACCCGTTTCCCTGATGAGTTTAAAGAGTTGCCTAGTGTTGCCTATCGCCGATGCCGCTTGATCTGAATAGTTTTCAGCTACTCATATCAAGTAACTGTGCACAGGATAACATGCATCCAGTTAATCTGTTGGTGGACCGATGCGTAGTGTATTTTATTGTATAATATACCAAAAGTGCCTCAACAGATGTTTCAAAATTCTCAGCTCGCCCAATGACAAATTATTTACTCCCGGTTTAGAATCTTCAGGTAAATTAACGATCCGTAATATATCATCTGAAGCCGTATTGTTCAATCCAGAGTAAACCCTATTGACCTGTTTTTGCGTATTTTCTGCTTTCTCGAAAACATCCATAGCCGTAGGTTGAGTCCTACTTGAAAATAGGAGCTAGTACAGATTACAATTCAGACATGTAACTGAATAATTAAAACAACTTGCAATAGGGTAAATAAGGTGCAATTTAATGGATGAAAAATTAGGTAGGCCAGTAATTTAATTAGACTGCCTAACATTTGCTAATTATTCTGAAGGATTACTCTTCCAAACTGTAAGTCGTTGAAAACGGTCGCCATTTAAAACTGTATTTTCGCGGGCTGCCATTGTGTGAGTCCTTTCATTTCAGATTATTATGAACAACTGTTGACAAAAAGCATTTCTTTGCTTCAAAGGAAACCATCATTACACTAAATAGAGTGATAGGCATTTTATTGAATATCTTTGGCAAAATTAGGATGTAGATTAGCCAATAGAAGTGTAATACAATCATTGTTGGATTCACGTAACTGCTACCATTTTTCCATTTGCCAGATTAGAAATAACGAAATCGTTTTGAGTTATTAGACAGGTTATCGTGTACGCAAAATTATTGAAACTGAATTTGTACTATAAAACTTTTCCAACTGATGTCAGCTCATGATATAATCCTTCATGCAATCAAACAAAATCCCTACAAAACCATTGCTTGAAAATTACTCTGATGCTTACTAGCGACTGGCCCTATTCAGGATGTTAACATAGGGTTCTGGTGGGAAGCCGTGACCAGTAGGGTACAGCAGGTTGAAGATGAGGCAGTAACTCATAGAAGAATACATTGAGAAATGATCGCGCTATGTCGTGAATTGGCAGAAGTTAGAATTCAAGGACCATTGGACCGGGTCTCAGTGGCTCAATGGTCTACGAGCTCGTCTTGTAACCAGAAGGTCCTGGGTTCGAACCCTGGCGGTGGTGGCGTACTGCTGAAGAGTCGCAAAATAGAACGAAACAGCTGTTCAGTACTTCCTGGTGGGTTTTCCAGTGGTTCTCTAACTGATGTCAGCTCATGATAAAATCCTCCATTGAAAATATAAAACTTCTCTTTAGAAACTAAGTTTGAAACTGACATAACATAAGCAGAAAGTGTAATATTATTTCAGATTAATTTTTGATCTTCAGTTATACTTCAATGGATGTTTCTGGAGGTTTTGTTGAACTACCTGGCTTCCTGAATTTCCATCCACCGTGATGCCTCCACTTTCCTCCCTTTCTTGTCATTTTAATCTTCCAGTTATATTGTTGAATTGTAACGTAAAATCATGCAAATTTTTACTTGACTTTCAACCTACCTCGCTTTGTGCACTTCAACAAGAAAATGAAGAATAAATGTCGCGGAGGACTAAGTCATGTTTCAAACAGAATGACGTTGAGTCTTTTACGAAAAACTATTTGAAGGATAAATTGATTTTCAACTTATTACTCTGAGAGTTCTGCATTGTTTTCAAACATAATTTCCAGAACGAAGCTTATTTCATTACTTTGATGACTGTTATTTAATTTGAGATTGTAAGAATTGGTTAAAACAGTAATCTGAAATTTTATTTAAATCAACAGAGGAGGGGACTAACTACTATTTTCAAACCTACGGTCGAAAATCTATTTGCTTGGAGCATCGTGGAGTCTGGTCCTACACAAACGGCAGCACAGTCACTTTAGGTGATTATTTGCAGGGAAGTTGTCATAAAGTAAGCTTTTGAAAGTAGATGTTTATTTAAGTTGATGAGTATTCAGAATCCACTTATTTTAAGACGCTAAAAATATTGTTTTACTGACAGTATTCTGTCAAAATACTTTTCAAGACACCAGTGGAAGTTGTGCTCCATATATACTTATGAATAAATTGCAGGTATTGCTTCAATTACATCTTTAAGTTTTCATTGGGTCAGCTTTATAACCATTTGGTTGTATTATTCCCATTTTATCAACTATGATGTTAAAATTACTTGATTATAAATTTCGATTGCACTTGTACGAAGACGGAACTGTTACTGAAGTCTGAATCCTTAAACTTCTCGAAGAATTTAGTTTTGTTGAAGGAGGCTGAGAAGAATACTGAATAGGCATAGGATAGTTGACAAATCTCTCTGGTGTCCCTGTTTTAAAATTCTATGGATTGAGAGAAGTAAACATGTAATAGCAAAGTTATTATTTACCACGCTTTGTAAAAGACGCAAGGTAATAGCTTCACAGTTATACATGTATTTATAAATATCCTGCCAATTGCCTCCAACCATCTAATACCATTAATTCACCGTGTGGGCAAACCATCTAGCATGGGTGGCCACATTGCAAACTTGACTGATAGAATCCAGTCTGCACCAAAGAAAGAACTAGACACATTATACTAGTTACTGACTAGTGTTCATTGAAAAATATCCAGTACAGTCCTACAGGAGGTTAATCGCGAGTCAGTGGTAATGTCACTGACTGCGACATTGTGTGACGCGGGTTCGTATCTCAGAAGGGACATGAGTTCGTTCAGTATTAGGGATACGCCTTGCTAATGAGTGCCAGCTAGTACGAAACCTAGGTTCAAGACTTTCTGTGGCCGATCGCCTTCAGCCACCGAATACCGTCAATGTACATACTTTTTACCGAAGTGCTTGAATAAAATCAGCATTGAAAAAGTAATGAACATAGAATTATATTTAGCACCCATCAGTTATCAGTTGTTAGGACATTTTGAATCATTTAACACGTGATAACACTAATATTTATTATTCATTTTTATTATTTATTTTATTCCTTAACTTTCCCAGTGGAACATAAGGCTTCAAGCTAGAGTCTTAAATTTTCGGTGGCATTGGTGTTTATTTTTACGGGATGGGATCGCTAGCCTCATGTCCAACCTTCTCTCTTTACCAATCGTATTACTGACTTAGCGAGGTTCAGGAGTGCTTCGGCTGGGGATCTAGCCCCAGACCACATGTGTAGTAGTTGGTGAGCATTCTGCCGCTGTGCCACCGACACATTTACATTAATAATAATAACATTAATAAGCCACTTTTGGTAGATGGTTAAAAATGGTTTTTAAGGTATGGAATTAAGATGTATTTAACAACACATAAGTCAACAAAGAAGTCTCTTTAATTGGACACTAGTCAGTAACTTACTAGCCCTCTGTTTTTTGTAGACTGAATTCTGTCACTCAAGTTTTCAGTGTGGCTACCATGTTAGGTGGCTCTCGATTACGATGCACTCTGAATTGTTGTTCATAGATGATTAAGCGTCTTGTCTTTGATTCGAACCCGCGTCAACCAATGCTGCAGTCAGAGATGAAATGAATTCTTTCAGGATCACAGATACTCCTCACTAAAGAGTGCTGAAAAGAAAGAAACATAAGTCCAAGGTTTCTTGCCAATTACCTCCAACCATCTAATAAAGAGATCTGTTCTTATAACTACATTTCAAAGCTGTACAATTTATTAAGTGTTTTATAAATGTGTATATAATGGTGACTAAAGAAAAAGGTCAAAGGTTATTGTCAATTACAAACTCTTCATCCAACTGAAGCTCTAACAAGCCAGAATGAAGAGCATGCACCTTGTGTTCAGAAATGTCTTATCCAGCCTCTTCTACTACCATGGTTCTAGCTTCAGTTTTGTTTTTTTGAATTGTTGTATCATGAATTCTATGTAGTCCTTTTTTAAATTTATTTACTTATGTAACCCATTTTCAATCCTCTGTACCCTTATTTCCTCTCATTTATTTCGAAATGAGTGTTCACCGTTAAACTGTTTAGTTATCAACACTTTCTGGATGATTTTCGATCGGACACTAGTCAGTAATTAGTGTAATATGTGTGCCTAGTCCTCTATTTTGTGCAGACTAAATTCTATGAGTGAAGTTTGCAATGTGACAACCATGCTAGGTGGTTTTCCATCATGGTGCACTGTGAACTGTTGGTATTAGATGGTTGGAGGCAATCGGCCACAGGAAGCCTTGAACCTAGGTTTTGCATTAGTTGGCACTCATCAGCGAGGCAGATCTGCAAGTCCGAAGGAAACATGTCCTATGTGATATTTGAACCCACGTCACCCACTGCTGAAGTCAGAGACATTATGACTGAGCTTTTCTCGATGATGCAAGACTATTCATTGATTTTAACACACTGTTGTTTGTCATACACTCCTAAGTAATTGTATGGCTTTGAAATGAAGTTATGTAAAGGGGTCTTTTGCTGCCTTATGGGTTCTTTATTTATTTTTAAGGATTTTTATGAATATTCATCTGCATATATTAGTTGACCCTGTGATAAACTATATGGTTTTCATGGTAAAAAATTATCTCCACTCTTCATGAAACTGTCGGTAAATATCAGACATGAAGAAAATATCAAAGGGGTACCGCTTGTAATTTATAAATAATCGGATATTATTAATGCGAACGACGTTTAAGACAAACTTGTAACCGTCTATCCTGGTTTAGATATTGATTTTATGGTTGAATATTCCTAAGAATGTACTGCTGAAACATACTAGCTCTTCAAGTCAACTGGTTGATAGTGACCGGCAATGGAATCCAGGATGCGCGTTTCGTCCCATTTAGGATACTTCAATGGATATACCTGCATTCTCTAGAGAGTCAGTGATGGTGTTCCCACCGGGGCTCGAATCCAGTGCCCATAGTCTCAAACGCCAAAGCACTATCCCTTAGACCGCTTGGACCAAGAGAGCCACCTCTTGTACAACGGACCTTATTAATTATTTAATTCAATTAAGATTTTCCCGTCGAACTGAAATGCTCGGTCTCAGACATCGTCAAACCATTGGCACAGTCGGCCGACCTGTCAACCTGAAACCGAGCACTTCAGTCCAACCAATCGACGGGAAATTCTATATTGAATTAAATAATACTCACCCTTCGTTTACATTGTTTTAAATGCTTCATTTATCCAGTTCAGATGATTCCTTTTCCAATATTATTTAATTTATTTTTTATTTTATTTTATTATAGCTTGATTCCACACAATATTTTGGTACAAGTGTGAAATTTTCAGCATTTGATATCGATAGCCCAAATTTAGCAGGCCGACCATAGATATCAGGCGTACGTTGGCAGGGGATCGAACCTCGGACTATGTGCATGGTCGGCGAGAGTCCTAACCACTGTGCCACCGACGCATGGATACATGTCTTTTAAATGTTCCTAGAATTCTGACCACTTATCCAAACATTCAGATATCCAGTGAATAAATAATGCAAGATTTATATTTTTTTTCTCCCTGCACGTTCCCCAGTGGAATATAGGGCTTCAAGCTAGTGGATTGAAGTTTCTGTAGCAGTGTTTATTTTACAGCATGGGGTTGCTATCCTCATGCCCGAGCTTTCCTCTTTGCCAGTATTATTTCCGGCTCATCGAGGTAAAGGAGTGCGTCGACCAGGGATCGAACTCTGAACCATGTGCATGATCGGCGAGCGTCCTAACCGCTATACCACCGACGCACACAAGATTTATATAGCTGCACATTTTAGATATTGAATCTTGACACTGAATACCTCCTTCAGGATTATCTTCACTTCCCTTCACGAATGTCACTGTTCACTCTCATCAAATATTGCTTCATAAAATTCTACAAATCAATGTGACTCACTCATACAACTCTCCTATTATAGGCAGACAAAAGTAAAGCACACAGAGAACTAGCAATGAAAATAGAATAAAATGACTTTGTATTTCATGGTTGCACATATCACTAATGTAATTGAAATAATAACGGACATAGTGAGGAAATGATGGTTATGATTTTCGCCTGATGCATCAATTATTTTATTCCTTGAAAGCTACCTGACATCAGTGAATTCCGACTGATTCTGTTTACGTGTTTATTCCATTTTGTACAGTATGAATGTTCACCTAAAAAGAGGCTAAAGGTGTTTTTCAAAGGCACTAAAGTAACCTGTCCTCTAAACGGTGGAACAATTAAATTCAGCGTGACAGATGGATCGACTCGACTTGTTGGATCAATAGTTTGTCCGAAAGTAAACGAGTTTTGCAAGGTGAGCATAATGAATATTTATGTATATGTTTAGAACTCTACTGTGTCATAATTGCTTCGAATATTCTTTTAACTATTCCTTGAGATGAGTTAACTGATTTGCATGCATGTAAATCTGATGAAATATTTTATCTAATCAAACTTGCCTCTAGAAAATGTTCTTATATGTCACTTGATTTCACAAGCTTTAAAGTACCTTAAAGCCTTAAAAGTCGGAATCTATTATTATAAATAGAATTCCTGGCCTATTGACAATGGGTATAAATTCAGTAATGACAGTTAATCGGCAACTCCGAAAATCCTACGAATTATGAAAAAAATGGAGACTCCACTGAAATTTATATAAGTGAATTGGATCTGTAATTACTGTAAGACACAATTATTTTAGAAAAAGTTTCATGAAATATATCTTGAGTTGAATTATGAACATTAAGTATCGTCTTGTACTGAAATATGTTCCTCAGTATTAATTTCTATTTGAATAAGGCATTTAGAAGACAAATTTCGCGAGATGATATCATTTCGTAGTTTCTTCACAACCGCTCTACAACTGACATGGTTCACAATAATAATAAAATAAAATAAAGTTCATTACTCAGTTATATAAAAAAGAAAAATACATACTAATGACCAATCACATTTTTAAATAGGTCAAGTAGTCCATAGTAGGCGAAGGTTGAAGTCTATTGTGTTTTTTGT